TGGCAAGCAGCTTCCCTTAGTACTGCTAAAAGAGAAACACCCCACTATGGAATGTATCTTAAAGCGTGCCTTCCCCATTTATAATTAGCTGGGATCCTCTATCACAACTGGAAACCTTCGCAAATGACCCAGCTTTGACCTGTTTATACATCTGTTGCAAGATGATTCTGACCAAATTCTGACCTTCTCCTACAATAGTTGATTCCTATTTATAGAAAGAGCTAAAAATGGACCCAGTTTCAAGATACTTTATATAGCTGTAGTAAGAGTGAGATAAACATCAACATGAAAATAGAAATCAGTTGATTTCTATTTTAGATAAGGAAGCAGCACTAACTTTGGATCTTATTTGCTGAATGTTATGAATGTGCCTTTGTGATGACCTCAAAGAGAAACAAGGAGAAAGATGAAACAGCGTACATACAACATTGAGTATAGAGCAGTGATTCCTAACCTTTTTCCACTTGTGTATTCCAGCCTTGTTCCATAAATTGTACCTCTGAAATTTTATTTTTTTAATTTACTAATTTTCATCTACACATCTCATACCACTAGCACTAATCCAAATATGAGCATACTGATATTCTTGATAAACCCTTTTCTCTCTCCAATCATATTCACATTATTACCACCATAAGCACATATCTTAAATTGGAAAACAAATTCTTATACACCATGGCCTCCTCTGTTGCTGTAACTCATCTGCTGAGTGCTGGTGGAGAGTGTTAAAATACAGCCCTCCTACCCCCAGCTCACAAACTTAAAAAGTCTCCCAATCACTATACTGTCAAACAAAACATATGTCAACATTCCTATTCGTTATGTTACTTGCCCTTGCAAATGATGTGTAGTCTAACCCTTGTCCCCTTGCAGATTCCAGTCCTAGTATCCCAACTAAAAATAGCCTCAATAGCTGCAACATCCAAAGGTTGCTCTCTAAACTGCATCAACTACAAGCTTGGTGTCCCTATTACAAACCAAAAATCATTGTGTTCTCAGAGTCATGGTTAACAACAAAAATACCCGAATCTGCCATTGCAGCACATAGGTATTCGTGCTTTAGAAATTACAGAGCAAAGAGAGGAGTAGGCATTGTTATTTATGTTGACAAGTTCATAAATTTCACCCCTTTAAAAAAAAAAAAAACCATAGCTCCCTACCACCTTTTATTTTCTTTCTGATCAATCAAGAACCCATTCAGTAAACCGATTTTATTAAAGACACGGAGGCTCCTATTATGCATATCTCTCTCTTTATTACTCTCAGCAGCAAAGAAATAGAGATAAATAAATAACTGAAAGAACAAAAAAATACAGTGTTCAAGTAACCAATCACATAACAGAGGAAGTGACTATAAAATACTTGAAGCACCCACAATCCCCCTCTTTCTTTGCTGCTCTCAGACCAGTTAAGTACATACTTTTTCTGTTCTGTTGGTTATTAGTTTTACTGTACTGTTTACATGGTTTGTCTATTTTATGTATGCTCCTAGTTATTATTGTAGTTGCTAGGAGCTTGTGTGTTTCTTATTGCACTTGTTTTCTGTGTTTTTCCCCCCTGTGGGTTATCTCCCGGGCGGGCCGTCGCGGCCGCGTTAGGCAGTGCCGCCTCCCGCCCCCTCCCATCCCGACCGCGTTCTGCGGCTGGCCGGGGATCTCCCCTGTCTCGGGAGATTTGCCTGCTTACACGCCGGCGAGCCTCCGCTTACATAGGCGGCGGCTCCCGGGTGTGTGTGCAGGTCGGGCCGCGCTGTGCTCACGCGTGCGCCCCCTCCCCCATCCCCGACTACCCTCCTTCCTCGTGCGGCGGCCATCTTGCGTCCGTCGGCCACACTCCCCTGCCGGTTACCTTTCATCCCCTGAGGACATACTGTGCAGGCTCGTTTACACCTCTGTGGGGTAGGATTTTGTTATTAAGCAGATGTATATGTATTTTATATGTGTATTTCAGTACTGTGTTTTTCTTTTGTTTCCATGTGCTTATTTTTCTTGTGGCTATCTTTAACCCTGTTCTGTTCCTGTCCCTTTGGGTTATTAAACCCTAATTACTGCCATTGTTTTTCCTATATACTTATCTGCAATTTTCATTTTGATTTCAGATCTGATTGTCGTATTTGTTACTCCTACTGTCTAACCCTTTCCTGTAGTCATGCAGGATAAGGGTGATGGCCCTGAGGGCCGCATTTCTGACTTCCATCAGGAATTACCTGAGGGTCAGGCTATTTCTGAGGAGTTCCAGGCTCTGATGGACTCCACTATGGCGTCCTCTCTCCAGAGAGCGCTCGCCTCTGCTATGGGGGCTATGTCCTCCTCCTTTTCCCAGACTCTAGCGCAGTCTCTTTTGCTACCCCAGGTGGCTAATCCTACCCTACTGGGTACGGACCCTATACCTGTTGCACCATCTGGTGCCCGTAAGGCCACGGTGAAGGCCAAACATCTCTCCTCCCACTCCATGACGCAGGTTTTACCTGCCTTGACGGACTCGCCTGAGGCAGTCACAGATGGCGCGCTCCCACCGCGCAAAAGAGCCTCTGGTCGGGCAAAAACGGCCAGGTTATGGAAGCGGGCTAGATCCCGTGATGAAAGGTCGGAGAGCGACCGGAGTGAGGAGGAGGAGTATGAGGAACTAGACTATGCTTCTGATGAAGAAGCCGGCTCGGAGGAGGGAGCTCCCCCTGCCGTAGCACCCCGTACTGGGGGCGCTTTCCCTGCCAGGGGTGCTGCTGCCCAGGGGGCGAGTGGTGACGCTGGAATTCTGGATCCGCAGGGTAACCCCCTGTTTGATCCGGATGACTTGCGCCATCCTCGTTCCGCTGAGTGGGAACCCCCTGAGCATATCGCCCGATATATCGCACTTAGGATGCGTACGCCACTCTCTAGGGAGAGTCGCAGTAAGCTACGGGCTGAATGTCCTAGACCTTTGGTCCCAGGATCGGCGTGTAAGACGCCAGAGGTCGATCCTCAGATTGCCCAGTTCCTCAACAAATCAGGCTGGAAGCAAAAGAAGGGCCTTGATTTTTCCCTGAGACATTGTCAAGACAAGATTATGGACACCATTGGCCCTCTGTCTAAGGCCTATGAAGTTTTGGAAGCCGCCAAGGCGGGTGACGCGGAGCTTGATATTGATGTAGCGATCGGTTGGGTGCAACGTGCCATTTGCCTACTAGGCAATGCTAATATGGCCGTCTCCGCTGAGCGCAGGAAGGCAATCCTGCTTAAGATTGATCCTAAATTGGCTACCATGGCCGTCTCCGAACCTGGTCCCTCGGCTGAGGGGATGCTCTTCGGAGATAATTTCGTAAGAGACCTGGGTTCTTATGTTAAAACCTTCACAGCCATTGATAAGGCCCAGGCTAATATGAAGAGGGTGTTTTCCCCTAGAGTTTTTGGAGGGGCCGGGCGCAACAGGAGCCGTCCACCCGGCCGCGGATTCCGGGGTTCGTATCGAGCCCAGCGAGGCTCCTTTTTCCCTACCAGAAACTTCCAAGAGCCCAGACCGGCTCCGTTCTTCCCATCTAGAGGGAGGTCCTGGAATCCCCGTTACCCGAGAGGTGCCTCATCAGGCAGACGCCCTTATGGTGAGTACCCCTTTTGTCCATCTTACACGAGAGCGGGTGGCGGGCAGATTGGCCCAGTTTTACGAGGCATGGGTGGCCCTGACAGCAGATGCTTGGGTTCTTCAAACAGTGAAGGGTTACCACATAGATTTTGTGTCTTTTCCTGTTCAAACTTTTGTCCCCAGAGAACTCTCGCTAGCTCGAGAGCAGGAGGAATTGATCTCTTCGGAGATCGTGGAACTACGCACCAAAGGTGCAATACAAGAGGTCCCGTTTACTCAGCGGGGCTTTACAAGCAACCTGTTTCTAGTCCCGAAGAAAGGTGGGGGTGTACGTCCGGTCATCAACCTCCGCCCCCTCAATGCTTTTCTCCAATATCGCCACTTCCAGATGGAGGGCATCCATTGCCTTCGAGACCTCCTTCAAGAGTCCGACTGGTTGGCCAAACTAGACCTCAAGGACGCCTATTTTACGGTGCCTATAACCTCGGCCCACAGAGATTTCCTCCATTTCACCTGGAAGGGAAGGCGCTGGAAGTTTACCTGTCTCCCATTCGGTCTCTCCTCGGCCCCCTGGTGTTTCACCAAGGTCATGAAACCGGTGGTATCCTTCCTGCGGAGTCGCGGAGTACGTCTGATCATATATTTGGACGACATCTTGCTGATGGCCCAGTCACGAGAATTACTGACGATTCATGTATCATGGACTACGTCCTTACTCCAGAACCTAGGCTTTCTCATCAATTGGGAGAAGTCGGTATTAGACCCCACCCAAACACTGGAATTTCTGGGGTTTACAGTGGACTCCGTCCAACAATTCCTGTTTCTTCCGGAATCCAAGACAAAGGCGATCAAGAAGGAAATCAGACGTACACTACGTGCAGACGACATCTCTATCCGACATCTGGCGAGGGTGATCGGCCTCTTGGCCGCCTCAATACAGGCAATTTTCCCTGGCCCTCTCCATTACCGGGCCCTTCAACGCTTGAAAGGCTCTCACCTACGTGCCGGCCACTCTTACGAACAGAGAGTGAGACTCGACGACGAGTCCAGAGACGAACTGACCTGGTGGCTGGCCCACATGGACGCCTGGAACGGGAGAGCCATATTCGGCTCTGTTCCGGACATCGTGATAGAGTCAGATGCCAGCTTACACGGCTGGGGCGCGCGTTGTGGTGCCGCATCTACCGGAGGCAGATGGTCGAATCAGGAGCGAACACTCCATATCAACTGCCTGGAACTATTGGCAGGTGCATTCGCTATTCGCAGCCTCACGCCGGAACAGGCGAATTGTTGCGTGATGCTCAAGATGGACAATGTATCGGCGGTCCGATACATCAATCACCTGGGAGGCACGAAATCACGCATGTTAGCTCTCATGGCGAAGGACTTCTGGCAATTCTGCCTTCGCAACAGCATTTCCGTGCAGGCGGAACATATTCCGGGTTTGGACAACTCAACGGCCGATTGGAACTCACGCTATTTGAGAGATTCTGGAGATTGGCGCTTGCACGCTACGGCCTTCCAGGGTCTGGACCACATTTGGGGCCCTTTCGACATGGACCTTTTCGCGTCCCGTCTCAACGCACAAGTACCCAAGTTCTTCAGTTGGAGACCGGATCCGGCGGCAGTAGCAACGGATGCGTTCCTTCAAGACTGGCCGCAGACTCGGCTCTACGCTTTTCCCCCGTTCAATATGATAGCTCGCACGCTGTCGAAACTGACGCAACACAGCGGCTCGTTGGTACTGATCACACCACTATGGCGGTCTCGGCCGTGGTTCCCTCGGCTGCTGGAACTGACAGCGGATTACCCACGCCTGATACCGACCTTCCCGAATCTCCTGAGGGATCCGGATGGCAACTCGCACGAGTTGGTGGAGCGCGGCCTCCTACACCTGATCGCATGGCCTCTTTCAGGGGACCCTGGTCTATCACAGGGGTTCCGCAATCAACTCTCGACCTCCTTGACAACGCATGGGCACCAGGTACTCGAGTGGCGTACCGATCCGCCTGGAGAATATGGTCTAGTTGGTGCGTGGAACGGTCAATGGATCCCATATCTGCCCCTTTACATGTGATCATGGAATTCCTTACTGTGATGTTTGAATCTGGGAAGGCGTACCGCACTATTAATCTATGCCGATCCGCTATATCAGCCGGACACCAAGGCTTGGATGGTTCGCCTGTAGGACGTCACCCGTTTGTATGCCTACTACTCAAGGGGATCCGTCTCACCAGACCGCCCCGTGCGAGATTCATTGCCTTCTGGGACGTGAATGTGGTCCTTCAATTCTTATCGGCTTGGTATCCAAATCAGGGTCTCACTCTGAAACAGCTGTCAGCGAAAGTGGTCATGTTGCTATGCCTTATCTCTTGCAAGAGGGTGTCGGATGTTCGGGCACTGGACTGGAATGCCATTGCGTTCACTCCGGAGGGCATCTCCTTTAACATATCCAGAAGAACGAAGTCGGCTTCGAAGGTGTTTGTTTACCCTAGATTCCAGGGAAACCCGGCTATCTGTCCAGTCGAATGCCTTCAGGCCTACCTCGAGGTTACTCGACCGTTGCGATCCCCGGAGCTATGCCCCTTGTTCATCTCGCTTCGAACCCCACACCTTCCGGTGTCTACACCTACGTTGGCGAGATGGGTTCGGGAATTGTTATCTCTGGCCGGGATCGATACATCCAGATTCACCCCTCATTCAGTCCGCGGAGCTATGGCCTCCAAGGCGGCGGCTATGGGCTGCCGCCTAGAAGATATTCTACGTGCGGCGGATTGGTCACAGGAATCGACCTTTCGTGATTTCTACTTCAGGCCGATTGACCATTTTGCATCTCAAGTGGTTTCTAAGCTCTAAACTTGCATAATAGGAGCCTCCGTGTCTTTAATAAAATTCCCAGATTTTACTATTAACATGACGTAAAGTCATGATTTTATTAAAGACACGGAGGCGAGTATTATTCCCACCCACCCACCCGGTTGGGGTTGGGCATTGGCTGGTATGGTGGGTAAGTATGATTTTTTCGCTATTAGACTTTTTGATTGTATGTGTTGTATCTGACGTTTTCTCTATATATTGGGGTTACATTTATGTCCCTTATAGCTGTATTACCGTATTTGGGTGTGTAGAGTTTGAGTTTGACGTACTGTACTATTTATTATAGTTATGCACATACAGTTGGAGTCCAGTCATTACCTTTTTTCTTTTTCTGTGTCTCCTTTAGCCTGAATTCTCCGTGATTTGCCATATTGGAGCTGCGGTTGGCTACGTTAGCCGAAGTTGGATGTTCTGTATTTGGTCTTCGTTATCCGCAAGAAAGAGGGGGATTGTGGGTGCTTCAAGTCACTTCCTCTGTTATGTGATTGGTTACTTGAACACTGTATTTTTTTTTTTGTTCTTTCAGTTATTTATTTATCTCTATTTCTTTGCTGCTGAGAGTAATAAAGAGAGAGATATGCATAATACTCGCCTCCGTGTCTTTAATAAAATCATGACTTTACGTCATGTTAATAGTAAAATCTGGGAATTGTGTGTTGTGTATGCCATTTTTCCCCGAGCTGCTTGTGTGTGTTTTTTTTGCTGATTAGATTTGCAAGGATTGTCTGCAGCTGTGAATAATCCCTGGAGAATAATTTTTGCTTGTGATAAAGTGAATGGTGTGGTTTGTGTAGGTGTTTATGTTCCTGCTAATTTCTTCAGAGAGGCATATGACATTTAACCCTGGGGGGGGATATGTATTGTATGCAATATAAATGTTTTTATTAATGTTTGGATATGGGCTTGTGCTCCACTCCTCAGTTTACAGGCAACTCAGAAATCAGGTCAATACTATTATTATTATTATTATTGCCATTTATATAGCGCCAACAGATTCCGTAGCGCTTTACAATATTATGAGAGGGGGGGATTTAACTATAAATAGGACAATAACAAAAAACTTACAGGAACGATAGGTTGGAGAGGACCTTGCTCAAACGAGCTTACATTCTATAATAGGTGGGGTGTAAAATACAATAGGACAGGAATTTTCAATCAAATAAGGTGGGCTGCCTTTTAGGAGAGAACAAAAGACAGGTATGTGAGGTAGAGGTTAGTCTGGGAGGCCATAAGCTTTCCTAAAAAGATGGGTTTTAAGGCACTTCTTAAAAGATGCAAGACTAGGGGAGAGTCTGATGGCGGTAGGCAGGCTATTCCATAGGAAGGGAGCCGCCCGCGAGAAGTCCTGCAAGCGCGAGTTGGCCGTACGGGTGCGGACAACGGACAGGAGGTGGTCACGGGCAGAGCGGAGAGACCGAGAAGGGACATACCTATGGATCTGTGAGGAGATATAAGAGGGGCTAGAGTTGTTCAGTGCTTTATAGGTGTGAATTAGTACCTTGAATTGACTCCTATAGCATACAGGAAGCCAATATAAGGCATGACAGAGGGGTGAGGTGGGAGAGAACCGACTAGAGAGGAAAATCAGTCTGGCAGCAGCATTCATTATAGACTGTAGCGGTGCAGTATGGCTTTTGGGAAGACCAATCAGGAGAGGGTTACAATAATCCATGCAGGAAATCACTAAAGCATGGACAAGCTCCTTGGTAGCATCTTGCATAAGAAAGGGGCGGATGTGGGATTTGTTTTTAAGATGGAATTTACAGGATTTGGCAACATACTTGATGTGAGGCTCAAGTTGAGGCCAGAATCATGTATGAAGCCAAGACAGCACGCTTGCAAGGATGGACTGATGTGGGTACCACAAACCTGAAGGGAGAGTGAAAGAGGAGGATCAGTATTAGGAGGAGGAAAGACAAGGAGCTCAGTTTTAGAGAGATTGAGTTTCAGAAAGCGGGAGGACATCCAGTCATGGTGAGATGGAAGAAAGGCAAGCAGTGACACTTTGCCAGACGGCAGGAGAGAGGTCCGTGGAGAAGAGATATATCTGGGTGTCATCTGCGTACAGGTGGTAGTGGAATCCAAAGGAGGTAATAAGTTTGCCAAGAGAGGCAGTATAAAGAGAAAATAGAAGAGGACCAAGTACAGAGCCTTGGGGGACTCCAATTGAGACAGGACTAGGGGAGGAGGTGTCATTAGAAAAGGAGACACTGAATGAGCGTTGGGAGAGATAAGAGGAAAACCACGAGAGGACAGAGTCACTGAGACCGAGTGATCAACGGTGTCAAAGGCAGCAGAGAGGTCAAGAAGAATTAGTATGGAGTAGTGGCCTTTGGATTTAGCTGCCATTAGATCATTAGTAACTTTGATAAGCGCAGTCTCAGTAGACTGGAGAGGGCGGAAGCCAGATTGAAGAGGGTCAAGGAGAGAGTTGCAATTGAGGAAATGAAACACACGGGTAAAGACAAGTCTTTCCAGAAGCTTTTAGGAAAAAGGGAGCAGGGATAAAGGACGATAGTTAGAGGGGGAGGAACGGTCAAGCAATGTTTTTTTCAGGATAGGTACTACAGTGGCATGTTTAAGGTCAGCAGGGACAATGCCAGAAGAGAGAGAGCAGCTGAAGATTTGTGTTAAGGAAGGCACGAGACAAGTGGAGAGAGATCTAATAAGGTGAGATAGGACAGGATCGAGCGGGCAAGTGGTGGAGCGAGAGTAAAATAGAAAAGCAGCCACCTCTTGGTCAGTACCTGGGGAGAATGTCTGAAGGGTAGGTATGATCTATGTGTGGTTGAGAAAGGGAACGGCCAGGAGGGGAGAATTCTTTCCTTAACTGTTCAATCTTGTCGGTAAAGTAACATGCACAGCTATCGGCAGTAAGGTTAGTTTGAGGGGTGGACTTAGCAAGGCGAAGAAGAGAATTAAAGGTGTCAAAGAGACTCCTGGAATTGCGGGAGCATGAACTAATGAGAGAGGAAAAGTAGGTTTGTTTGGCAAGGGGTGCGCTGTATGAACACAATATGAATCTATAATGGAGAAAGTCTGACTGGGTGCGAGACTTCCTCTAGGAGCGTTCAGCACAACGGGTGTCAGGGAGCCGCGGGCGGCGAGGAGGGGAGGCTGCACGCCACTTGCAGCACTCACCCTCAGTCCATTGCCGCCCGCGGTCTCCTCTCTGCTTACCTGTCGGCGAGCGGCGTCTCCTCTGTGCCAGCATCCTCCACGCCCCCCAGCGGCAGCATGTATAACGCTGCACGCTAGGAGGTCCAGGAGTTAAGTAAACGCCGGGGTCACGTGAGTGACCCGGCGTTAAAGAAACAGTACCACAATCACAGTGGGGGGTATAGATATCCCCCACGTGTGATTGGATAACTTCCAATCAGAATTAACAATCAGAATTAAACCTAGGGTATTTATACTTACCTTTCCTGTCCCTCAGTGCCCTGTTGTGGTCTTGTGATACCTGTAGCGTGGTGTTCTCGTCTTGCTCTCTGGTTACTGATTATTTGGCTCGTTATTCCGATTATCCTGTCTTCTCCACTCCTTTGACCTCGGCTTGTTTCTCGTTCTCCCGTTTTCTGGCTCCCTTTACCTGGCTTGTCTCCTGACTATTCTTAGCGTGCTTAGCCCGGCCACTCTAAGGTCCGGTACGGCACCGTTTCTGTGTGTGTGTGTGTGTGTCAGCGTGTTAGGTTCCCCGAATCGTGACAACGGGAGCATCTTTGCAGGTAGCATGTTGATTTAGTATGCCACGTTTGGGGGCGGGTCCTCCTTGAGGTGCTTGTTTGGAGCGGTGCTCCAGTGTTCAAGGCAGAGGTGAGGGTAGTGTTATATGCGGAGATGGCCAGTGAAGGACAGGGGAGGGAAGGGAAGGGATGGATAGCAGTTGTGAATCAATATCAGCTGACAGCTGCTGGAGATCAAGAGAGTTAAGGTCCCTCCTGAGTTGAGGGGGATTAGGCTGAGGTTGTTGGGTGAGGGAGTACATGAGAGCAAATGATAAGAGGTGGTGATCAGAGAGAGGAAATGGAGTGTTGCAGATATTAGATACTGTACATGCATAACTAGGAACTTTCTGCAACCTATTGCTCAGCTGCAAGTAATCAGCTGCAGAAAGGGAAATAAAATACTCCATGGTACACAGTTAAAGCAGCACTGTCATGCTGAACTTA